TCATAGAATGTTAAGTAGGCATCTTCATGAATTAATTTGTGATCTGAATAATGCTCAGTGCAGAAGCTGCAAAGCCTGAGAATTTACAGCAAAATTAAAAGACAACAATCATCAAATGTTCCCTTAAAAATGTCTTATATTTAATAAAACATAATTATATTTTTAAATTATATATATATTGTTTTGTGTTTTAGAAAACTTCATCTTTTTATCTGTCTGAATAGCCATGTTGGGCAGATGGTACTGTTACCTGACCAACTGCTGCTGAGCCTAACTTGCCTGTTACTGCAGTTTAAGCTAGAGCAATTGCAGCATCATTTAAAAAATGTACCGTATATACTCGTGTATAAGTCGATCTCATGTATAAGTCGAGTGCAGTTTTGTGACCAACAATTGTGAAATATGCTATGCCTCGTGGATAAGTCGAGGGTAAAACTTGGGGCTATGAAATTCTGTGATTTTTATAATTATATACACACACACTCATACAAACACACACTCTGCATTATATACACACACTCTGTGTATATAATGCAGAGTGTGTATATAATGCAGAGTGTGTGTTTGTGTAGTGTGTGTGAACTGGGTGGGGGGAGGGCATTTTTATTATTTAAATTTTTTTTATTTTAATATTATTATTTTTTTATTATTTAAAAATTTTTTTTGTCCCCCCCTCCCTGCTTGTTAACTGGTCAGGGAGGGGGGCTATCTTAATCCCTGGTGGTCCAGTGGCATGGGCTGTGAAGTGGGGGGGCCGGCAGGAAGCATTTACTTACCTTTCCTGCAGCTCCTGTCAGCTCCCTTCTCCTCCGTTCCGGTCAGCTCCACTGTAAGTCTCGCGGTCTGGTTGCCGCGCGGATCGTTGCCATGGCTCTGACGGCCGCGGCTCTCTAAGTTGCCATAATACAGACAGTGACTCGAGTATAAGTCGAGTGGGGGTTTTTAAGCACAAAAAATGTGCTGAAAAACTAGACTTATACTTGAGTATATACTGTAATATAATAGTGTAATGTAATAGTGAAAATTTAATGACAATTGACCTTTTTAAAAAAATATTTTTATTGTTTCTTCATATATTTTATGCAGGATTATGGCTGTGGGCTGGGATTTTCCAGCGCAAAATGTGGTACCTATAGTCAGAAATCTTTTTGTTTCACTACCTGCCTGCGCACCATCTCCTCAGTGAGTCTAGAAGTCAGCCAGAAGTGGGATATGCAGTGATAGAGACATGTCATATTCCCTGATAGTCTCTATTAGTGTGCTTAATTTGCTCCTCCTGAGCCTCACTGAGGAGACCAGCACAGGCAGGGGGGACAGAGCAGACTGGCAGCAGCTACAGTAGCAAAGACGAAGCACAGGCCCAGTGGCATGCCCGAGTACCATTCTGCAGAAGGCTTGCGGCCACTGTCCCTGCTGAAACAGTGACTGGCCTACTTCCTTCCTCTCAACCAACCTCCCAGGTACAGTGCCACAGGGGTGTCCTTTTTTATCATGTATATGCATGACTGTGAGTGTTTGTATGTATCTGTCTGTGCCTGTGTGTGTCTGTCTGTGCCTGTGTATGTCAGTCTGTGTATGTTTGTCTTTTCCTGTGTGTGCGCTTGTGTATGTGTGTCAGTGTGTGTCTATGTGCATGTATGTGTATCTGTGTTTGTGCATGTATGTGTATCTGTGAGTGTGCCATGATGTGTGTTAAATGCTGGAACTGGGGAGGGGTAGATGTCTGGGTAGGGGAGATAAAGAGTTTGGGGCTCTAGGAAGGGAGCCACCAATAATTTTTTGGCTCAAGACCTGAGTGGGTTTTGACTCTAGCAATTCCCCTGATTTAATCTAGGTTATCTATCTAGGTTGCAGCATCTCCAGCCTGACGTTTTTCATAAATTTATAGAATAGCAGCCAAGAAACAGCTTCTAGAATTAAACACAAACATAATTAAGCCCTGTGTTCAAACTTTCACTACTATTGGGCATTAGCAATGGCTTTAGTATTCATCTGCCCACATAAATAGAACAAGACCAAGAAGAAAAAAATTACCTATTCAATAACCCTAATCACTATACACATGTAAATAATGGAAATGGGAATGGTCCTTAAAATCCTCATGTTATTTAAATGTGCCGTGAGATTTGGGATAGTGTTTTGTTTGACTCACCTAAGAGGTTTGCTTTGATGTGGCAGGTGAGCTTACAACTTTATGACTATTGGGGTGAATAACCTCCTGTTATTCAAATGTGCATAGTGATTTGGGATAGTGTGTACCTTAGTTTTTTCTTTTTCGCTTCTAAATTTAGTTTAAAACTGTATTATTTAAAGTTTAAATAGTTTATTTTTACTCATCTAACGTTACAAGGCAGTTTGCTTATAAATATAGATAAATAAACTGTTTATTTTCTGTTTGAACAGCATTCATATTTTGAATGTAGTTGCTAATGCCCTTCTATACTTGAGGGAAATTGTTATGGTGGTGATTTAAGTTGTGTTTGCAAAAAGAACTTTATCTTATCTTTATCTTATCAATCAAGCAAACCCTTCCTATACGGGAAGCAGTAACGTGAGACAGCGCCAAACGGTTAGTAAGAGGCACCGCAGTTGACAGGGCTCCTTGACAAAGGCATGCATTTCAGCTTGACTGTGAGATCCTCTGACACAGACACTTAATTTCAGTATGCCCACTTGCAGAGTTTGACCTGAGCAGTCTAATATAGACTGAATGCCCAGAGTCCAACTTACGCAGTGTAAGCTTGTCTTATGATATACTCATGTTGTGCTTAAAGGGAACATTTCTCTGGTGTCCCTGGGAGTGGGACATCACCAATCTCACCATGGACAATGGAACAGGAGACAAAAATCAGACAAAAAAACAGACACAAAACTGTTCTCTTGAATGTAATCATCTTTACCTCACCTGTGTTTGGGAACAATTCCATAGTTGGCATGGTTGAATCTTTTGTTAAGAGAAGATTCTGCTATATAATTAATGAGGAATGAAGGTAATATATTCTCGATTGTATTAATGAAACGAGACAAATGTACAATGTCCACGGGGTATCCTCCATCAGATATACGATTCA